ACCCATAATCACAGATGTTAAATCTGAATTGGGAAGAGGAAACAAATTCGGTTAAAGGGGAGGCGTAGGTCCTCCGGATTAAACCATGGAATCCTCAAACCTTGGATTGATTAAGAAGGGCTTAGCCTAGCATGGCTAAGTAAAAATGAAAATTCAAAAGAAGAAGATGAAGAACAGAAAGAAGGTAAAAATGAATCTCCAACGAACTGTCAATCGTACAATTCCCCAAACGAAGATTGCCAAAAAGTTACCTAAACTCGCCTTTTTAACCGATATTCAAAACAGGTTAGGGCTCCACTAAATTTAGCCCATGATAATAAAAAAAATGAAATAAAATAAAATAAAAGCAATGGCCTTGGACCTCATGTGCATTGGGTTCTTAATTAAATTTACAAGTCTAACTAATTAAATAAATTCCAGCATTTAACGTCCAACTTGGGCTCCAACTTCGACTAACTTCTTGTTCGAATTGGGCTTTCATATCTCATAATATTTGTAGCCCTCTGAATTATCTACAAAATACGACAAGAATTGAATTAATCGGACACATGTAGCAAGAGTTATGGTCAAAATACTGCAGCAACGTAAATCTGGAAATTTATGATAAAAACAAATTAAATTCAATTAAGAGACCAACTAATTAAATCAACCCAAAAGTCCTTTATTCTAACAATAAAGTGATAAAAAAATCCTAAAACTATTAATCAAGAGCACAAATAAGTGTAATAAATATTAATTATCAATAATACCTATCAATTTTGTAGAGAAACATAAGATGTAAATATTTATTATTGTATTTTTAAATTGAAAATCTCTTATACAATCCAGTGAGATTTATTTGATATCTATTTTTAATTTTTATTATATCAATTTGGTAAAACATCGATCAATTTTTTTATGATATTTAATGAAATTTTAAATATTATAGATGACGGAAAGTATCAGAGTATCGGGAGTGTCGGATACCAGACTTCACTTTTTGAAGTGTTGGTCCAACATATTTCTTAATTTGTTGCATTTTCCTTTAACTGAAGAATTTTCAACCACAGGGCATTGTCGTTCAAATGCGAATTAGTTTCATCCTAACTCCGTATTAACTCAACATTGGGTTCTCATATCAGCATCATCATTTTAGAATCTCGATTGGTAAAGCATATACATTCTTGCTCTCTCTTCTTCAAAGAAAATGAAACCTTTAGCTGCCATGAATGAAAATTTATGTCCACAAGCTTGTTTGGCATTAATGGAACGGAGCTACCTCTGCATTAAGAAACGAGATTTATTGTTTGGCATTGTTCAAGTCAAGTATAATTAGATAATCAATAGCCAACGAACCTCACGAAATATGGATATTCTAGCTGCTTTCCCAAGTTGTTAAGATTCGAATAGTTAACTCATAGAAAGAATGAATATGGTGGATGTTACCAAAGAATTGCATCTAGCGAGGAAGGGACATCTTTTCTAACAAATATTATATCACTTTTTAAACCAGAAAAAATTCTCTTTGGATGTAAGTGACTTATTTTTGTTCACAGTTAGAACTTTGGTTTTCTGTTTGTGCTATAGTATTGAACATCTTTCACTTTTGTTTATCATATATTATTTGTATATAGTTGGATCACCTCACTTGAGTTCCCTTATACACATGCTCGATCAATTTACACAAGTTAATAAATTTCATCAAAACCGAGGATAATTCAGTTTTCTTTCCTTCCACTTTCTCTCATTCCAAATTAATTATGGGATTGATACCTTGTGGTGGTAAGGTATCCAATTTGCTTTTAGATCACCTACTTACATGAATGACTCGTTGTTGTAACAATATCAGCTGGTCTACATAGCATTAGGAAAAACGAAAAAACCTCATCTTCCATTTTTCCACCCCAAAAGAAACGATTGTCAAGGTAAAATACAAAAAAGACTAGTCATGGTGAAGCTGACAAGCATTGACTTTTATTAGAAGCAATACATAAAAATTTATCAAGACTTCGTATAGAACGTATAAAGTAGGGCATGACTACTGCCTGATAAGCAAAACTAGAGAAAAACCACAGAGACAAAGACTGAAGAGGGAGGAAAGTCCAAGTTTTAAATTTAATTTCAGTGTGATCATTTTTTGTGTTTTCATTGAATTGCTATTGTTGATTAAGATGTGACATTCTACCTAGCTACTTTTGTGTCAAAAGCTCCACCTTGAAGATATTGTCTTAGTGGGTAAGCAATTTTGTGATGCGCACACCAAATTTTTCACACCAATCACCACAAAATACAGGCTGACTAATATATAGTGGTAGACTACTGGTAGTCGATTACCATTCCCACTTTTAGAAATGGTGACGTGAAGGACTCTTCTTAATAGCTGGTCCACATAACACCTCATCTTCCATTTTCCACAACCTCAAAAGAAACGATTGTCAAGTCAAGGTAAATTACAAAAAAAAAATACTAGTCATGGTGAAGCAGACAAGCATTGGTCGCAGTGTTATAAAAGGAGATCCGATCGGGCTGGTTTGACCGGTTGACCCGTAAACCGGACTCTCAACCAATTCGGTCCAAGTATTGGACCGGATATCATTTGACCCGGTATTGAATCGGTACCAATTTTTTTTTTAAAAAAATCAGTTTTGTGAAATTTTGGACAAAATACTTAAAAATTATTAATATGATTCGAACCTAGACTATGTGGATTGTAACTTATACCGCTTACCTCTAAACTATCTCTAATTATTAGCTTAAATGTTTTTAATTTTATATTTATTATATATATTTTATTCATGCAGTTGAACCAGTAGCACACTGATTGAATCGGTGATCCAGTACCCCGACTGAGTCCATAATCGATTCGAGTTTGATAACTCTGATTGTAGGGTTGGTAAAATGGGCCAACCTGAAAAAACGAGCCGAGTTAGGGTTGGCTCGAAAAAAAGAGAGCCAGAAAACTCAACTCAACCCGACCCGAGCTGAGTTAGGGTTGGTTCGAAAATATGACTCGTGGGTTGGCTTGAAAAAATGGCTCACGGGTTGGCTCATTTTCAGCCTATTTAAATGAACCTGTAGTATAATGCACCAACTATGTGGCTTCTATCAGCTTAAACAATACAATTGTCTTACATAATAGTTTATAAAAAAAAGCAAAATAGAAAAGGGTTACAAAATGAGAAGCAAAAGCAAAATATTCTAGTTTTGAATTTTTTTCACAATAAATTTGTACCAACATCGAGAAACAATCAGAACCATTTGCTACCAAGTGGATAAGATATTTGAACCAAACAGAGCCACCACAGCCTAACAATATAAAAAGGGAAACTGGAGTGCATGTTTTTAATACTTTAGGAAGACATAATTACCATATAAATATGGATTAGGTGACAAAACTGCTTATCAACGGGGAAATATAATTCAGTGAAGCTTAGAAGGATTTGTATTTAAAAAAAAAAAAATAACTCAACTCGCGAGCTGGCCCATTTGACCCACAGGTTGGGTCGTTTTTTCCCGAGCTGGCTCGGATCGAGTTGGCAGCTCATTTTTGCCAATCCAATCCGACTCATTTTTGACGGGTTACAAGCTAACCCAATGGATTGACTCATTTTTGCCAACCCTAACTGATTGATCGGGCCCCTATTTACTAAATTTCCATTGATGGACCCGGTTTACTTTGAATGTTGTTACCCTTTTTCTTCTCTTCACAGGTAAGTAAATGCAATGCTGCAAAGGGGATGGAATTCTGATTTTTATTTGAAACTAGTTTATAAGCAATTTTCATGATAATTTCTGTACTACATACATTAGGTGAAATATACATGAGTATTAGATGAAGATATTTTATAATTTTTTCCTGAAGAATATTTTCACTACTAGGTTATGAGAGAAAAACTCTAAAGAAAAAAAAAGAAAAAGAAAGAAAGAAAATGAAAACAAAACATCATATTTTCAAATTTGTGTTTAAAGAATGAAAACAAAAAATATTGTCAACATTATGTATATATAACACATGCCCGTCATGTTGCAGAAAAATTAATAGCCAGCAAACCTTACACTATCTTGGCCCCTTCTGCTTAAGATTTGGCTTGTTTGTTAAGTGGAATCACCCATAGAAAAAATGGATACGGTAGATGTTACTAAAGAACTACATCTAATGAGGAAGGGATTTGTTGCTAGCAGAATCAGTTAACTGAGTAGTGACTAACCATATACAACGAAGGACGATGTAGGGCTGCCTCCTTTCTACCAATTTATATCCTAAGAAAGTGAGAAAATTGATTATAGGCCCCCCCTCCCCTAGTTATGTTACTCAGTGAACCAGAATGATCTCTGTTTCAATGTAACTTATTCCTGTTCATATCTAGCACTTTGGTTTTCTATTTGTGCTTGCATTGAACATCTTTCGCGTTTGTAAATCCTATTTTTTTCGTATAGTTGGATCACTTCACAAGAGTTGCTTTATATATGTTCTGGATCAATTTACATATTAAATTTCATCCAAAGAGAGGATAATATAGTGTCCTTTCTCCCCACATTCTCTCATTCCAAGCTAAGTATAGAACCAATACCAAGTGGTGGTAAGATATCCAATATGCTTTTGGTCCACTTGATGACTCAAAACGTAACAAAAATAGCTGGTCCAAATAGTATGAACTGTAAACCTAGTCTTCCACCGACAAAAACGATTGTCAAGGTAAAATACACAAAATAGTAATCAAGGTGAAGCAAACATGCACTGACTTACAGTTTCGTCGGAAGTGATCAATTTTTTTTTTAAAGTCTGTGCTAGCTTTTGGCTCCATGTTACATGCCTCTTGGTCCACACACTATTCTTATCTTGACTATAAACTTTGGCATGGTTTGGACCAAACACTAGAGCTTCTGTGTTAGGTAGCGAGATATATCAATTGACTTGAGATGGATTGCTCTTATTTATTTATTTATATTTTTTGTGGTGGCAATAAAAACTCGAATTCACTAGGTCACATTATGTGTTGATTTTGTTGCCTCCAGTATTTAAACGCATAGAGTAAGAGAAGGAAGGAATAAGCCTCTTTTGTGTTTCCAACATAGCTATTTAGCAGAAGAAAACACACCATCTAGTGGCCTCGTCTTCCGCAACCATAAAATGAAGCCCTTTTCTCTCATTATACATGAATTTGGTTCTACATGCCTTCCCCTATTTCTTCTGATAATTACTTTGAACTCACTCTGGTTTAGCCCAAACACAACTGCCTCTCAATCAGGAAACCAGACTGACCATTTGGCATTGCTTGAATTCAAGGAATCAATATCCAATGACCCATATGGTATCTTGGTCTCTTGGAATAGTTCTACCCATTTTTGCAAGTGGCATGGAATCATATGCAACCCCATGCATCAAAGAGTTACTCAGTTGCACTTACAAGGTTATCAACTGCATGGTTCTATATCTCCACAAGTTGGCAATCTCTCTTTTTTGATATATCTCAACCTCGGAAACAACAGCTTCTATGGAAAAATACCACAAGAATTGGGTCGATTGTTACAATTGCAAATACTTTCCCTCGTGAATAACTCGTTGACCGGGGAAATTCCTACAAACTTGACAGGTTGCTCTAGTCTCAAAGACTTATCCTTATATGATAACAATCTGATTGGCAAAATACCAATTCAAATTGGTTCTCTCCATAAGCTTGAGCTATTGTATGTTGGGGGAAATAATTTAACCGGAGAAATTCCACCATTCATAGGGAATCTTTCAGCACTAACCGATTTCTCGGTGCCTGAAAATAACTTAGAGGGACATATTCCAAGAGAAATCTGCCGCCTGAAGAACTTGACACTTGCATCAGTGCATATGAACAAATTGTCGGGTACATTTCCTTTTTGTCTTTACAATATGTCATCTCTTACTATAATCTCAGCTGCAGTAAATCAATTTAATGGCTCTCTGCCACCGAACATGTTCAGCACCCTTCCCAATCTCCTTGATTTTGGCATTTTTCAAAATCAATTTTCGGGTTCAATCCCAACTTCAATCACAAATGCATCTGTCCTTCAAATGTTTGATATTGGTCATAACCATTTCGTAGGACAAGTTCCAAGTCTAGGAAAACTACAAGATCTTTTGGTCCTATCTATAGAATTGAACAATCTAGGTAACAATTCAATTAAGGATTTGGAATTTTTAAAATCACTAAGCAATTGTATTAAGTTGCAAGAGTTATCTTTATCTTACAATAATTTTGGAGGTCGTTTGACAAATTCCTTGGGTAATTTATCCACCCAACTCAATCTACTGTATCTTGGGGGCAATCAAATGACAGGAAAAATTCCTGCAGAATTAGGAAATCTAATTAATTTAACTCTCTTGGGTATGGAAGCTAACCATTTTGAAGGTATTATTCCACCTGCTTTTGGAAATTTTCGGAAGATGCAAATATTAGAATTGAGTGGAAACAAGTTATCAGGAGATATACCAGCCTTCTTAGGCAACCTCAATCAGTTATATTTTTTGGGTCTGGCACAAAATTTGTTAGAAGGAACTATTCCTCCAAGTATAGGAAACTGTCAAAAGTTACAATACTTAGACCTTTCCCAAAACAATCTTAGAGGAACCATACCCTTAGAGGTTTTTAGTCTTTCCTCTTTAACAAATTTACTAGACTTGTCACACAACTCATTGAGTGGTAGTCTACCAGATGAAGTGGGCCAATTGAAAAATATTGATGTGCTAAATGTCTCTGAGAATCATCTATCTGGTAATATTCCTGGAACCATTGGAGAATGCTTAATCTTGGAGTACCTTTATTTGCAGGGGAATTCCTTCCATGGAATCATCCCATCCTCTTTGGCTGCACTAAAAGGTCTTCGACATTTAGACCTATCACGAAATCACTTGTCTGGATCAATTCCTGATGTTTTGCAGAATATTTCTTTCTTGGAATACTTAAATGTATCATTTAACATGTTGGATGGTGAGGTACCAACAAAAGGTGTCTTTCAAAATGCAAGCGAGTTAGTAGTGACTGGAAACAACAAACTTTGTGGAGGTGTTTCAGAGCTGCATCTACTGCCATGCCCTGTCAAAGGTGATAAACATGCAAAACACCACAATTTCAGGTTGATAGCAGCAATAATTAGTGTAGTTTCTTTTCTTCTCATACTGTCATTCATTCTCACTTTCTACTGGATGAGAAAAAGAAGCAGGAAACCATCTTCTGATTCACCAACAATTGATCAGTTGGCCAAGGTTTCATACCAAAACCTACACCGTGGAACCGATGGATTTTCAGTAAGAAACTTGATAGGATCTGGAAGTTTTGGCTCTGTGTACAAAGGAACTATCGAGCCAGAAGACAGAGTTGTTGCCATAAAGGTCCTAAACCTTCAAAAGAAGGGAGCTCACAAGAGTTTCATTGCTGAATGTAATGCACTCAAAAATATTAGGCATCGAAATCTGGTTAAGATTTTAACATGTTGTTCCAGCACAGACTACAAAGGTCAAGAATTTAAAGCTCTGGTTTTTGAGTACATGAAAAATGAAAGCTTAGAAAGTTGGTTGCATCCTGCAACAGAAATTGTAGATCAGCCTATATCACTAAGCCTTGAGCAAATGTTAAACATTATTACTGATGTTGCTTCAGCATTTCATTATCTTCACTACGAATGTGATCAAGCTGTCATTCATTGTGATTTAAAGCCCAGCAATATTCTTCTTGATGATTACATGGTAGCTCATGTGAGTGATTTTGGCTTAGCAAGATTGCTTTCAAGTATTGGAGTCTCTCTAATGCAAAGTAGCACAGTTGGAATAAAAGGGACAGTTGGTTATGCTCCTCCAGGTATAACATTCTAATGTTCGGTTAAGTTGTGAAATATTTTTGTTTCTAGTTTTAGTTCTTCTTTCAGTACCTTATATTTCCTTTTATGTTAGGAGATAACTTTAATAACATTAACTGATTTGCATTATATTTCAGAGTATGGAATGAGTTCTGAGGTGTCAATTGAAGGTGACATGTATAGCTTCGGGATTCTAGTTTTAGAGATGTTAACTGGAAAAAGGCCCACAGATGAAATATTTAAAGATGATCATAATCTATATAATTATGTTCAAACTTCAATTCCAAATCACCTTTTGCAGATTGTGGACCCAATTATTCTCTGCAATGAGTTTGAGGAGGCTGCTAACAATAAGAACTTTGGCCTTACATATCCTAATGTAGAAAAATGTTTACTTTCACTTTTTAGGATTGCACTTGCTTGTTCAGTGGAATCACCAAAAGAAAGAATGAGTATGATTGATGTTACTAGAGAGCTTAATCTAATTAAAAGTTTCTTTCCTTGCGAGGCTTAGTGAAGGCAAACTGCATCACAACCATAGGACACATGGTGTAAAGGCACAACTATATTGTTGTTATCAATTAATACTAGCAGATGTTTTGTTTCCTTTGCCTCTTCTTGCTGGAGGGTTTTTTTTTTTTTTTTTTTTTTGTAAAAAAAAGTTGAGATGAATTGTTTATGCATAAATCAAAAGTTATGTTATATGATGTAACATAATTTTTTTACACACACAATTGTATGTGGGCCTTATCCCCTGATTTTTCTCTCTCCTCTCTTCTCTCTTTTCTCAATTGTGTGTGTAGGAAAGTTATGTTATATCAAATATAATTTTTGATTTACCCATTGTTTATTCTAGAGTCTTAAGTTTTGTGGTGATGCAATTATGAAAGAATGATCAATCAAAATCATCCATATCTTATAAAGTGATAAATATTTATTGTGGGAAAGGTGACAGTGAGAAACCTCGTCTTTCATATTAAAGATGTCCCTTGTGAACCTAATTAATTGAACCTAATAAATTTTCAAGCACATTACATCAGTGGCGGAGCCAGGATTAGAGGGGAGGCAAAAATTAATTTTTTGTCTTGCATAATATCAGTATTTTTTTTACCTATTGACCTCGTAGGAGGAACTCATTTAGGTAATTTCTTACCAAAATATTGACATTTAACAACATTTGAAAGACTGAAAAATGTACTACTGGTCTGGTCCAGCAGACATAAACAGTAGTTTAAAGCAATAATTAAAAAAAAAAGTGCCTTAACTAAAACAATGCTTTTAACTACATTTTTTTTAAAAAATAAAATAAAAGACTGCAACAAAGTTGCCCCAAAAAGTGAATCTTTTAAGCTAAAGCAAACCAATTTTCTCTATATGAAACCACTACGCAAAGAGGAACACAACCATGCAAATGAAAAGAGAGCAAAAGGGTGGCAAAAAGGCCAAAGCTTTCATTAACCAAAACATAGCATATGAAAATTAAAAAAAAATGCAGAAAATGTTACACATAACACATACACATTAGGTGAACTAGAGGTAGATTTCAACTTGGATCTCAAACCAGAACTTCCAAAAGAAACACATCTAACAGTAACAACAGTTCTATGTTTGGCCTTCAACTGCAATAAATCTTTTTCTTCATTTTTGGTGGGGGGGGGGGGGGGGGGGGGGGGGTTCCCCCTGTCTCCGCCCCTGATTACCATAATGGGGCTCAAAGCCCAACATGTGATTTCCAATGAACTATTTTATCATAATGTATTAAAATTAAGTCCACATCTATGCTGTTGCCTTTCAGTCTATCCATGGGCAAGAACTTGTAAGAGAAATAAGTGAATTCAATAACAACTATTAGAAGAATTATACAAGGATCAAACAATTTAATTAAGTGTAGGTAAAAAATGTGGAACAATTTGACAATGTAGAGATCAAATCCACTTTCAACCCACCTATCACTGTTTGAATGCACGTGTTCTAAATTTGTTGCCTTTTCCTTTAATTGAGGAATTTTCAACCACAGGGCATAGTTCAAATGCAAAATTAGTTTCATCCTAACTCCATATTAATTCAAAATTGGGTTCTCATATCAGCATCATCATTTTAGAATACCGATTAGTAAAGCATTTACATTCTTGGCTTTCTCACTACAAAAATTCAAGCATTTTGTGGGGGTCATATTTTTATATTGTGGGGGTCTTTGACCTCAACAAAGTACATTTGTGGCATCCTCAATGACCCCCAGTTTTGCCTACGCCACAACATATTTTGTGGGGGTTTTTTGTGCAATGCCACAATTTGTTGAAATATTTTTTGGAGGCTCCAGACCCCCACAAATATTTTAGTTTCTGGAGGTTTAAAACCCCCACAAATTTGTTGAAAATTAAAAAAAAAATCATTTAAAATTTTACATTTATGTTAAAAAATCCAGGTAGATTCAAAAGGATAAAAAAAAATTCATTCCAAATATTTGAATACATATCTAAATAGAACTTGGTTTTCAAAGATAAAAAGATCAAAGAGATGTATAAATGAAATTAAAAACTACTCATGCAGGCCAAAATTAAAAACTATATCATATTGTTATAGCCTTCAATAATTTAAAATAAAAGCAAACTGATATGATGTGACATAGTATCATAAAAGATGACTAATATTCTAATCTCGTTTTCTGTTCACCAAACAAACTGGAAGAAGCCATTACATAGCAGCTTGATATCATGAGATAAAATCCAAAACCAACTACAAAATAATTTACATACACTTCCACGAGCATCTTTGGCAAAGAGGATCAGGACTTTATTATCTTCAGCAATGTAGCAAGAATACCAAAATCACTGGTTCTTGAAAGACAGGAAGAAAAAGAAAAGAAAAAAAGTTAAAAGAGGATCATGACATTGTCAGTAGCTGATTCAATACAAGAATGAGTGCATACAACCTCTATATTTTTTGAGATATCCTTGATCTGCTCAGCTAGCTCCTGCTTCTTCTGAACGGCTGCCAGAATATACAACACTAGGGTAAATTACTAAGTAGACACAATATACAGATATCTCCATCTTAAAAGCATGACACACTTGATCTGAATCCAAAGATCTTCAAGGAACGAAAAGGTAATATTTGATGTTCCAATCTCAAAATTCAACACCTGAGGAAATACCAAATCATATCAATCAATATCAGCTCAATTTATTCCTATAGTATTAAATCATATGTCATACATATAATGACATTGCTCTATCAAAGTCTCCGACCGTCCAATAAGAAAAAAAAATTACACAAAAAAATTGAATATATAAACTTATCAATCCTCCCTTCATTGATATTAATAAAACAAACTCAGCATATAACAATGCAAACTTAATTCTTGACACCCTCATTGTTCACACTTCAAGCGCAAAGCGCTTTCGGATCAAGCGTATGTTAGAGATTAAAATAAAAAACATTTTAGACCTCCACCAGTTACAGCTGCTCTAATGAGAATTGGTTCAAACAGTTCAAATATATACAGTACCATTAATGCCCATCAATGTAGACAATGCAACATTCTTTACTCCATCATATACTGTCTCAGTCAAACAAGCAGGACCAAAAACCTTATCTGCACAGAGAAAAGTAACATGAAAAAATATTTAAAATCTGATGAAATTATCTCACAAAAGGAATTGCTGATATTAAAAAAATAAGAAAAATAGAACTTTGAATTGATAAATGAGCAAGAAAACTAGTCAGGATTTGATACCAAAAGTAAAAGAGGTTGGTTGAGGTGCATGTTCATGTGCTGGTGGTTTATACACGATCATATGATCATCAAGGCAATCCCATGCCACCTGATCTTTAGCCAAATGCTCCCTTTTGTTCAAAGGCCTTAACCTTACTGTTACCACAATCTTCTCTTCCCTAGCTCTTGGCCCTCCTGGGGTAGACACGGGACTTCTATCTATCTTTGAATGTGGTGTTCTGACAGTCATCTTCTACTGTAGGATTAGCAAACAAGACACACGGTCAGAAAATTATTAAGAAAACTGACGGAATTAAAAAAAAACGGAAAAGGAGGATTTTTACAATTCACCTTTGAAAACCATGGAGATTTTACACAAAGTTGGGGGTAAATTTCTTGAAATACTTTCTATAAATAATAATAATAATTATTATTATTCTCGCTAGTCAATATTTAATGCAATGGTAACAAGGGAACCTAGAGAAGAAAAGAAGTAAATAAATACCATAAAAATAACATCAAGTTATAAGTCTAAACAAGAATCTATTAGATCTTTTACTACCTTTCATCGCATCATGTCACAAGAATCCAATACGGCAATACCAACATTAATCCATCATGAATGAAGTGATAGTAAATGACCAAAAATATAAAGCTACATCTTTTACCACCATCCATCGCATGAAGTCACGAGAACATACACAAGGTTATCATACCTGTGATCTATTAGATCTTTCATGCTATTGACAACCTCATAAATTTGTCAACAATTGTAGTAGGCAATGATAAAAAGGTTTGATTAAATTTAGAATAAAAAATAAATCAAGTTTTCTCTATATTAATCAACACTCACAGAAGCTCTGAATTAGAATTAATAGTGTACCTGCAAACAGCTCACATATCTTTTGGAAAAGCCGAAATCATTTAGCGATTGTAACTCCAAACTCTTTGAAAGCTGACGCCCAGCTGTCAATACCCTGATGCAAAAGAAACATCCTCCCTCTATTTTAGTTGTCAAGTTGTACCATCCTCACTCCAATAAATAAATAAATGTAACACTATAAATATACACTATTCTTAATATTTGGACTAGTAAATATAATTAATTAATAAAGGCTGATCTAATCAGATACTTTATTACCATGTGCCACTTATTTCCATTTTTGATTATTGACTTAAAATAAGATTAATTTATTGATTTTCTTTCTTTTATTCGATGGTTCCATTTCCCTTTGTGTGTTTGGGTTAGCTTATTTTGTGTTTGGAGAAACTTATAATAAAAATGCCCAAGGGAACTTTTGACTGAAACAGTCTTGTGTAAAAAAAAAAACTATCCCCATTAGACTTCGGCTAGCGATAGTAGCGGTGAGGGCAATACTAGAAAGTAAGCAAAAACAAATATGTACAGAGCCTAAAAGAGGCTGATTCTTACTTGGCTACAACCTTATCCCATGCAGCTAGTACACACAGCACCCCAAAAACACACACACAAAGCATCCCGATCAAAATAGCAAAACAACATAGTTTGCCTTATAGTATCCTTTATGTGGTTGTTTCTTCAACTATCTAGCCCAAAAACAGAATGCACCATTTCTAGATAACAACATCTACACATAACGCACACATGCAGTCAAGAGAAACAAGTTATCTGAGAGGGAGGAATTACTAAATAAGTCAATCAGAGATGAAAAACAATGCATTAACTTACATATTGCTGTTTGTTTGCAAGTCTTGCTGAGAAACCCCATTAGACCCACTTTCATTAGCTAGACCACAACTCAATTTAAAACAATAAAAATAAGAAGACTAAAAAAGATAAAAATTAAAATTAAAATTAAAAATGGGAAAGAACAAGTGTTAAATCAGAAACTCAAAGAATGAAGCATCCAACAAAACTAATGATGAGACCTTTGATTTTGGAATGACTTTGACAGCAATTTTGGACAACAATTGCTACCTCTAAAGCCTTTCAAAAATGAAAATCAACACAAGTTCAGTAGATTAGAATCAATTGTGTTCTTGTAGCACTACTCAGTACACCAAAACCAAG